CAATAAAACTTCCTTGAATCCTTGAATGAAACTTATTAAGATATCAAATGTTTAAATAGACAAAACTAAAGAAAACATAAAAAAGGAAAGAAAAAGTGTGTTTGCAAAGGATTATGGGTTTTAGGATTTTAATATAAAGTTGGAAATAATCACATATGATAACCAGAGGTGGGTAGAGTACCCAAAGGGTGTACTCAAATAAGAGTAGCGATACTTCAGAACATTACTCAAGTAAAATAAAAATTACAATGTAGTAAAACTACTCATAAAAGTACATTTATTTGCCAAAAGGTTATTCAAGTAAATGTAACTTTACTACCAACCTCTAAAAATAACCATAATATTACCAGCTGATTCAGTCTAATGTTCCAACACAAGTGTAACGAGCTCTTAGACTCCCAGCTTTACAAATCACTGAGAATGTGTGAGGTCTATGTTTCCCTCTCCCACTCCAATCCTTTTCCCCTCCAGAGGTGGTCAATGAGATGCGAGTTAGGTGGGTGGTGGTTATCCCTTAATGACCCAGTTTACTTTGAAAAGGCATTGATCTCAGCCAGTTCTTTACTTAATGCTGACAAAAGCGACTTAAAGCCCATTTCTGCGACACCTCAACGCTGTTGGTGCTGCGTGAAAAATGTCACTGTGACATTTTGTTCACTCTGCAGAGGAAAATAAAATAAAATCAAAACCTTTCAATGTCTTATTCCGAATACAATTACTCCTAAATAAAAGTTAGCATAATCTGACACTGAATGTTTARGACTGGATTGAGTTTAATTTCTATGAATATTTCATGAGAAACACTACCTTTGTTTTGCAAAGAATACCWTTTTCAGATTAAATGTCAACTGAACTGAATGAAATGAGAACAAAACTCTTTTTTTTCCCACCAGTTTTCCCAGACGACGCTGATYGTGAAACAAGAGTGCAGCGTCCTTCAGATGGCATTTACACCAACAACAGTTGACTGGGAGAGCAACACAATGAAGAGGAGCAGAAAGAAAGAAACAGCATTGCAAACAGTGAATGAGGAATAGATGGAGGGACGGAGGGAGTGACTTCATGTTGGTATTTAGGTCTTAAATGGTTAAATGTCCATGACATAAGGGTTTTGGAGAATCACAACCAGATCTGCTAAAAAAGTAAAGAATAAAAGTTTGTATTTTATAATCTATTTTTCTGTCTTTAAGTTGTCATTTTGTTTAGTTTTAGTAAATGGACTGTTCTTAAATGGCGCCTTTCTATCCAACCATGATACTCAAAGTGCTTTACACCACAAACTGTGCCCTCATTTACCCATTCACACAGCTTTCTAGAAAGCTAACATGTACAAATCAGCTGACAGAGACTAACCAGGGCTTTAAATCACATCCATGCACTGATGGGACTGATTGGGGGTGACACAACTGAGACAGCTGGAACTGGGGATCAAACCTGCAACTTACTGGTTCCAGGACGACTCCCCTAACCACTCATATTGAGCTTGCAGCCTTTTAAATTTTTTTTAATTTACACAACAAAAGTAGTCTCTTATTGTGAAAACCCACATTTTTCTTTATTTAGAGCTCACTTCATTCAAAACTCTTAAATTTTCTTAGTTACTAGATACAAGCATCTTGTAACAAAGAAAATCAAAAAATTATCATATANAGTAAATGGACTGTACTTATATAGCACCTTTCTATCCAACCATGATACTCAAAGCGCTTTACACCACAAACTGTGCCCTCATTTACCCATTCACACAGCTTTCTACAAAGCTAAAATGTACAAATCAGCTGACAGAGACTAACCAGGGCTTTAAATCACATTCATGCACTGATGGGACTGATTGGGGGTGGTGTGGAAGGACACAACTGAGACAGCTGGAACGGGGGATCAAACCTGCAACTTACTGGTTCCAGGAAGACTCCCCTAACCACTCATATTGCGCTTGCAGCCTTTTAAAATTTTTTAAATTTACACAACAAAAGTAGTCTCTTATTGCGAAAACCCACATTTTTCTTTATTTAGAGCTCACCTCATTCAAAACTCTTAAAATTTCTTAGTTACTAGATACAAGCATCTTGTAACCAAGAAAATCAAAAAATTATCATATACAGTATAGACACAATGAAATTCATTGGATTATTCATTCAAAACTATTTAATATTAAAAATGTAATGYCTAATGTGCATATAACCAACAAATATCGAAACTATCTGCAAATTAGACTGCCATTAAATTGTAGTGTATGTTTTTATTTTCTATTTTGACATTTAATTAATAAAATCAACACTGTTAAAACAATTTAATATGAGAAAAGCCCATACATGTAGGATCACCTTAAATAAAAAAAAAACAGCACTTTTAGCTAAATGTGACCCTCAGTTCAGATTTACATGTCACACTGCAAACATTAGGCATCTAAMATAAATTTAAAAATACTAGATTATAGTCTGAATCTAATCTCTCAGTGCAGTAAAACAATTGCTCTTGGTAAGACTTGTTGAAATAAAGAAAACKTGGCTGGTTATAAGTWTAAGACTTGGTTAGACTGACWTTTTTTGCAGTGCATATCAGGAAACTAGAGTAAACACTAAAACTGCAGTTTGGTAAAGCTCAGGACCCTTTTCATGTTTTTTAATCACAGCTTGCTGTGAGTACATCCAATATGAAATAACAGAACTTTGAAGTGACTGCATTGTGTCCCATAGAAAGACACCTCTCTCCCCAGCTTCACTCTATTTAATCAGTAAACACTTTAATCTGCGCAAAGAAATGAAATCCATTGGAGTAATATTCAGATTTTTTTTGTTATTAGGAAACACGTTTGACAGAAAATATTTGCTGTGATGCTTTTTATCAGTGTGCTTTATTTTTTTTTACTGCGGGCCCATAAAGTAAATCTGACAGTCAAACACATCCCTGCTGCAAACATGAGCATTTCCACATGWCGTGGAAATAGAGCGTCATGTTTTGTTGTGATGCTCCAGTGATAGGACATCAGAAGCAGGTGACTGTTTAAACCTCCCCTCTCCCCTCCGTTTCCCTCTCCCAGCCTGACTGCACACAGGTGGGGGCAGCAGAGGCAGGAAAATTGAGGAAAACGTCTGAGTTTGGATAAAAACATAATCAACACAACTGTATTGTGTGTGTGTGTGTGTGTGTGTGTGTGTGTGTGTGTGTGTGTGTGTGCACGTTTAACCCAACAGCCAGTCACTGATCACCTATCAGCCTCAGTGCATGTGATCTACATGTGTCTTCTCAACACATATCACCATAATGAAGCGGGTGCCCCCCAACACGGTGTTTTTGTCTCATGAATCAACAGCGCTGCTCTCCACAACATGAATGTCAGGAACCATGGCCGTTGCCATGGCGATGCCACACTGCAACACTCTGTTGCAGCTTGCTCGCCCGCTGATGCTCGCTGCCGCTTCCAAGCTGAGGGGGGAAAAAGAAACGAAAAAAAAAATACGACAAGAGAGGAGGGAGGGTGGGAAGACAGGAGGTCTGCAGCAGAATTCGCTAGAATGCTAATCATTGTCTTCTTGATGGTTTGTCCTTCATTATGCAGGAGTCGCTGCTCGGGACCACCAGGAAGAACAACCGCGCAAACACGGGCACGTGTAAACACACCTTTGCGTGTGGTGGCTATTTTTACACGTCTGCTTTTTACAGGGTGAGCAAAATTTATAAGAATATCCATAAAACCAACCAGAAAGCAATAAATAAACGTCAAACTGCATGAATCTAAACACGTAAACGCTGACAATACATCAGGAGCTTGTCTGGTGGCAGCCAGAAGCCCCATTAACAAATGCTTCATTATTAATAAGCCACAAATGTGATCTGAAAGCCCAACCATCCCGTCAGCATTCCCAGGATATCCCTGCCTTCAGAACGCCACAGTTCTAAAAGAAATTTCCTCACGTGGTTATGACTTATGGGTCACTCAGAGATGAGAGAGCGCCGCAATTACCATCACGGCCAATTCACAGTAAATCTCATTAAAGGTTTTTTTTATTGAATTCAGCATGTTGAGGCTGTGTTTCATGTACAACGCACACGGTGGGGGAAAAAACTGAACAAGGGGGTCAGGCTTGTTTTAAAAGGTCGTGACAATGTCGAGCTCGCGAGTCACGTCTGGTCACAGCTATATCATCTGAAAGTGTAATTAGAGCCATAGTTTTGAAGTGTAGGGATAAAATAAGACTTCGGGGCCAACGTCTTCTTCCTCGCTGGCTCTTTTTTTTATTTGTGTGAGGGCTAAGTCTGTCATGTTTTATGGAGCGTTCTGCAAGGATCTATTGTCAGCCTCTTCAGTTTCATCTTCTTGTTAATGCTCATAAAAGATGCAAAAAGAAATGACCTAGTTTTACAGATGGTAACTTATGCAGCAGGGGGATTACACTGAGAGATGGACTCTTTTTGATTATTCAATGGATATACTCTAGTGGTCATTTCATCTATAAAAAAGAGTGAAAAACTGATCATCATTCTGTGTGAAAAAAATCAACAAGCACTCCTGTATGTCTTGTTGGTTCTGAATCAATAGGAAACCTCTCCTCTGAGATGATTCAAACAACAAATGTGGAGAACTAACCCAATATGCTGCTTCAAAAAACGACTGCTTTGTTACACAACAAACCCTCCACTGCAGCGTGTACACACACCGCTACACACCCATGGTCAGCTCTCCACAGTGGAGAAATGTGAGTGGGAAGTTGGAGAGTTTTTGATAAAGACACAGAGAGGGAGACAATCAGGGAAAAAAAACAGGAAAAAAGGCAACAGATAAGAGCAGAGTCGCAGGGGAAGGTTGCCCTAGTGTGATGTGATCGCTTACAAGAAGCCGGGAAACTAATGGTCCTTTTTCTTTGCTGCAATCACTGTCAGTCAGAGATACTGTAGTCTCACTTATGGGACAAAGGAGTTATACACAAAAATGTTATTGTTGTAATTGACAGGTGATGCTGAYATGTTGAATCTTTTCTAAATGAGTAGTTTGGAAAAAAAACATGAGTAATTTCTGTGCTTAAATTTTACATTTTATGCAAAAAAGTTACAGAAAATCATTTAGTATGTTTACTAGAATAGCAATTAATTTAGATTAGGTTAAATAATTTGTCTATAGCGGGAATTGTTACAACAAAGAAATAATCTACCAAACACAAATGTCCTTTCTTTTATGGAAACAAGCTYTTCATTTAGTTTCATTGTAAAATTTAAGATTATAACTCGAGAATTTGCATTTTAACAAAAACGTAGTGTGAATGCTTAATGCTGAAAGATTTTTGCTGAAATATCTAAAATACAACTGAAACTAGCCAACACTCTAAGAAAAAAAAAACGTTGGATTTTCTTAATGATGTTATGTCAGCTGGTTCCACTTAACTGAGTTGAGTAAATTCAAAGCAAGATTACCCAGTTTCTAACCAAAGAACACAAGTTTGCTTTGAATTTTTTCAACTCAGTTAGGTGGAACCAGTTGACATAACATGGTTAAATAAATCCAAAATCTATTTTTAGAGTGTAAAAATAGCTAAATAACTAAAATAGTTAAAATTGGCACAAAGAAACAGAAACAGCACATTTGCAGATGTAAGTAGTAAGAAGCTAAAATTATGACAAAAAGATGAACTCAGCTGAAAAAAAATCCCAATTACCATAGCTAAAATGTAAAAACACAAAACGCAGCTGAAGTTAGCAGAAAGCAGCAGAGAGCATTATAAAAGCTTAGAATAGCTGAAAAAAGAGAAGCACAAAATAGTTGGAATTAGCTGAAGAATAGCAGAAAAGGTCAAAATGATAGCTGAAACAAAGTAAAACCAGCAAAGTAGAAGCCAAAGGAAGATGAAATTTGAACAAAGAGTAAATAAAAGCAGAACCAGAACAAAAGGTAAAAGCTGCATTAAAGATTTATGAACATTTTGAATTGTTTGTTAAAAATTGCTCAGTTCATTTTTAATGAGGAAAAACAGGGCTCAAGAAGCTAAATATCTGAAAAATATATGTTGCTTAAATACAAAAATTAGTGTCCTGAAGGAGTTGAAAGTTTTGATACAGTAATTATTGAAATAGCACAAAAACTGTGGAACAAGACTGGTAAAAACATCTGGAAGAAAACAATTGTCAGTTGTGCGAGTGCTTTAGAAGCATTCACACAATAAAACTGCACACAAACTGCTA